AAATGATAAATTTAAATGAGATTTCACAAAATATATTCAATATTATTCAAAAATAGAATATTATCAACTCAATATGAGAATAATTTATCAACAAAATAAGCATGAAACTAGTTTTGAAAGCCAATAAACATCATAGCAATGACTAATTTCAAAAATAATAAACTAAGAACGAAATCAATTTTCTTTCAACATATCATGGAAGAGATGATGAATTAGTGAATCTCATACACAATGTATTGAAGATGAATATCATTAAGCTAGAATCAGTCTACTCCAACCTTAGGATGAATTTTTTTTTTCCTTGGCGCTACGCTGCGTCGATTTGAGGGTTCATCCATCCTTCATCACAACCTTAGGATGAATTTGTTTTTACTAAAGCAAGGTGAAAGGATGATCCAAAAGAGAACTCTCAACTTATTTCTAAGATGATACTTTGTAAGAGAATATTTGCCCATTGCTTCTGTTTTTTTTTTTTTTTTGGTGCAAGAGAGGGGAGTCGCAGCCAAGGAGTTTTGGAGGGAGTTGTAAGGCTTAAGAAAAAAAAAAAAATTGCATTAAGAAGAAATTGCAATGAGGCCAACCACAAGGGAAGGTTTTGGAATGATTTTGAAATAGCATTAATAGGTCAATCAATTAATTAGAAACTATGCATCTAATAGAGTCAATCGGAAACAATTTAAATCAAATAATTTGCAAATAAAATTAGGATTTTAGTTAGAGGAGAGAGAGAGAGAGAGAGAGAGAGAGAGAGAGAGAGAGAGAGAGAGAGATAATCTAAATTATTTTGATAAATAAATAGTATTTATTTTATAACAAATTTTAATTTTGTGAGCATTATTTATCATTTTATGCTAAATATTACAATTACTCATCAAAATTCAACCCATTATTTATCATTTTTGTTCTTCTTGAGCTAGATGATCAAGTTGGGTTTGATGTTTCACTTGAAATGTTTAAAATTAAATATGAGTAATCCAAATTAATGAGTCATGTAACTTATGGGGTTAACATTACTATCCAAAAAAAAAAAAAAATATATTGCTTTTTTTTTAGTAAAGCTTCACTTACTCAAATTCATACACAATAATAAAAAAAAAAAGAGAGCTTTTCTTTATTTTGGTAAACCAATCTTTCACCAAAACAAAATATAATTTAACACTTTTTCATGAATTTATTTAGAACGCAGCTCATCTTGGTCTGTTGGTTAGGAGATTTGGCTGCTAACCAAAGGATCTTGAGTTCGAGTCTTGCGTATGTGAATTTGACTTAATTGATCTAAATATCTCCAAAAAAAAAAAAAAAAAAAAAAAAAACTTAGAACGCATAGCGTGATATTCTTCAAACTATAGCATTACTCCAATTATATAGTGGGTTGAACCACCGGTGGGCCTCATCAATCATATAGGGACTCAGCACTTTTTCAATTATTATCAAAAAGGCAAATGACAGTACACAATTCTTTAAATAACCACCTGAAAGATGCCCTATTCTATCTTCCATAGAACCATGCCCTCTTCCTTTGCTTCTTTCTAGAATAATTACTCAAATAAAACAAGTCACTCCGTTAATTAACATACACTGTTGCGTGCCTGTCTTCTATAGGAGCAATTATTACGTCAAGTCATCTGACACGTCCAGAGACCAATAATCATGCGTCATGTCACCTGAAACTCGGTATTGAGCACTTGGTATTAATTGCTCGGTATACGTCCGGATTTCCGGTTTTTTGTCCGGACATAATAATTACTCCTTCTATAGCTATAAATAGTGGTTTCCTTTACAATAAATTACTCTTAAGCTAATAACAATAACAATCTAACTAATTAAATTAAAGAAAAAGGCATCTTCCATTGGCTAACTAATTCATTCTTATAATCACATAGGCTCAAATTTCACAAGCATAGGAGGTTGGAATTGGATGGGGCTGTCTTCTTGACAAAGAATAGAACAAGCAGGACAGGTAGCAAATAAAATTTAATTATCTGATGATGCTAAGTTCATTACAGAAGATTCCATTTGTACAATAAGCCCTTAAATTATTTGCAAAGCTACAAATTGTCAAATGTCTCACATGCATTAATCAGGAGGTCTCTAGTTTACCCCGGCAAGGAGGTCGTTGGGAAGAATCCTGGCTTATTTGATACTTAGTGCAAAAGAGGTGTCGGTCGGAGTTAAATGGGTTAATTTAGGTTTCACTCGAAATTGGTCGGATCCAAAATACTTAATCTGAATTCAATCAGTTATTATAGGCAAGATCAGACCCGAATTTATCTCATCAAATCAATTCATTAATATGTTTTGCTGCGAGTTAGGTCAAGCTGACTCGAGTAATATGAATATGATCGATTGAATGCTATTATTTAAATAATTTGAACCGTTTTTTTAGCAAATAATTAAGTCTTGGTTTATGGATTGTGTTTAACTTGACTCGACTCAAAACTAACTATTTAAATCTTATCAGTGTAACTTTCACCTATCCAATAACTCAAATTTGAGGCTTCATTTGAGACAACTTTCTCAATGCTTTGCTTTTTAGACTAGAACTATAATTTTCAATTTAGCCACGCTGCTTTAAAAGAAAAAATTTGTACTAGGAAGCAATTTTCTATAATAGTTTTAAAAAATTACTTTCTCAATAATAGCTCTTTATAAAGCAATAAAAAAACTATTACAAACAAAACCTGAATTTGATTTGTGTAACTTTCTATCAAATGGAAACAATTTAATATATATATATATATAATAAAGTAATAGGTAAAATATTATTCTTTGCCATAAAATATTCTAATAGTTCATGCTTAGCATAATAACTTGTTAAAAACATGCTATTGACCTTGAAAACTCTTGGAGATAAATGTTGAGAAGCTTAGGAAGAATTAAGTGTTGAGACAAGAAGGAGCTCCAAAGAGAGATTGATAGGCGCCTGTGGTGGAAACAATAGTCTTGACTAGCCTAGCTACCATGGAAGGCATTATAGAAAACCCTTTTGGTTTGGACCTGTCTGAGTTGGATAAATTTAAAGTTGCTGGCCTACATAAAAAATAAAAAAGAATATGTGATCAAAAGGAGCTCTCACTCCTAGACCTTTAGAAAAATGTTTACGAAGGTTTTAATACATATTACTTAAAACTATTGTACTTACATATCTAACACCTAAAATTATATATTTACTCACATAACATTAAAATTTTTTAAATAACAACAAAAAAATCACATGTTCAAACTCTCCACTACTGGGTGTCAATTATTGATCCAACCCGACCCAAAAAATCCGGGTTAGGGTCAACCCGTTTAACAAACGGGTCGAATTCGACGTGATTTCTAACTCGCGGGTCGGGTCGGCCCGGTAACCCATACAGGTCGGGTCCGGGATGACAAACCTAACCCGTTTGCAAAATCGGGTCGGGTTAGTGTCAACCCATTTATGGCCGGGTCAAGTCGAGTTCGACCCGAACCCGACCCGTCGACCCGAATTGAAACCCCTATCCACTAGCATTCCGTAGATACAAAAGCCACCAATTCTATCTATTTAATTCCAAGTGAGATCCTTGATCTCGTTGCCCTTTCTTCTTCCTCAACGTTCACATGTGGCTAATCTTGTCGATGCCCTTTTGGAGCAAAATCTTGCTCGGCTTCTTTGTGCCTCCATCTCTAGGAAAATTATTAGGTCCGGTCATCAGACGTAGAGATACGTCCGGACACCAATAAAATATTGACATGTGGAATGTACATGTGTCCGCGGAATTTTAAGTCAAGCGCGTCAAAAGCGCAATTAAAATGCAAGTAAAGCCCAAGTAAATCGCAGGTAATGTGCAGATAAAGCGCAGTCAAAGCGTGCCTAAAGCGCGGTTAAAGTGCACTCAAAGCACAATCAAAAAGCACAATCAAAGTGCAGTCCACGTGACAAGTTTTAATTGGATGTCCGAACCAATTTTAGGGCTTTCTTGACATTCATGTGCTACCAGTGCTATCAATTCCCTTGCCCCAACAAGATCTCATCAACTAACAATGACATCCACTATAACCTACACAAACACCTTTTATCAATCAACACCTACTACTATGATTAATTAACATAGATGCTACACCTGTTATCAACCAACACCCAGGCTAACCATAGGTTAATCATTTTCTTCCATTCTGTAAAGCAAAATCATTGTGCTTCAGAATTTCGTTAACATAAAATATTCTCAATAAGTATAATATAAAGCTTATTAGCTTTATTCTTTTCAGTCACAATCTTACAAATAAATAAATAAATAACATTAGCAAGATCCTCAAATTTATAACATCAAATAATATAGAAACACTGCTCTCCTTGGTCTATTGGTAGAGAGCTTAGACTTTCAACTAAGAGGTCCCGGGTTCGAGTCTATGTGTATGCGTTGTGTGATGTCCCAAAAAAATAATATAGAAATCAAAGCATTTAATAATAAGAATATAATAATCATTATTAATAGACAAGAAAGTAATAACATTAGAGGTTAAATCAGCATGAAAAGTTGCAAGTCTTAATGATTAACAAGATGATTAGGACATCAAAATTATTAACTTATTTGCAAAATCAAATTTAAAGTTCAAAATTTTTGAATAGCCTTCACATAAGAGGAAAGATCTTAACTACTACAATCATGTTCATCATGATCTCTCTCTAATGTAGCAATGGATGCTTAAGTTTAATCCCACAATTTAATTTTCTTATTATTATGCCTCTCATAAATAAAAATAGTTGAAGTCTTTGTCTTATCTTGCTCACTCATTAAATGATTCTTCACCTCTTTATATGCAAGAAGTTTAATTTATCTTACAAATAAATTATCATTAAATATAATAAAATTAACTTCACATCAAATAAAAAATTATGAAGAAATTTTATTTAGGAAAAGTTGAATAATTATATTTTAGGAAGATATGAAAGAACAAATACACCCTTATAATTAGTAGTGAATACATCTGAAAAAGTCCCAACAATGCTCAAAAAATCACAAGCCCAGTAGGAATTGATAATCCATTTTGAAGTAAATTCTTCAAATAAGAATATTTCATCATTCCATTGAAGGATTCTGTTAAAATTCTTCTATTACAGCAGTATCTATAACAAAGATACTATTTTTAAAAAATGAATCCATTTGAAGGCACAGGTAGACACCGTCATTTTTCACGAAACAACACATGCAAAATCAACAAAATAAAATCTTTATATTACATTAACTTAAAGATATAGCAGCTAAGTGACAGTATTATAAATACAAAGAGTAAATAAATAGCAAAATACCACCAAATATCGTTCTGCACAGCATTCTTCAACTCCGGTAATTGTCATTATAGTCGTAGCTGGACGAGATTCATGTCAGCATATAGATTTTGGCGCTGTAATTTCTTTAACCTGTGACATCTGCAATATTCATTAGTATCAGCCAGTTCTTAAATTACACAAGTAGAGCCACGAAGTGGCCAAAATGAATTGTATTGTATCGGCAAAAGAATAATTTGTAAGAGCCAAAAAAAGTTTTTTTAATTTTATTTTATTTTATTTTTTAAATCCGTAAAATTTTACTAAAGGGAATATAAGGACAACAACTTTCTTACTGCTTTTTAAAGAACCTAAAAAAATTTTGTACTAAATTTTTTTTTAGCAAAATTTAATGTTCATCCAAATCCAGGACAGACCAATAGCCCAGGAATCGCAAAAAACTGCTGGCTTTAACGACTCTGCCATTCCAAATGGTTTCCTAATCCATGCAAACAATCAACCATGATTTTCGAACAGCTATTTGCTTACCTTCTAAATGGATTCATATGAAAACCACAAAGCTATTTTCTGTATCAAAAGAGCTCTATCTGCGGAACACCGAAAACTTAAAAAATAGCAAAACTTTGAAAAATCTGGAATTCTGAAATACAGCCATTCCAGCTTCTGTTTTTAACCAAACCTACACCTCAAAACCATTTTGTTTTGAGACGCTTGCAAAAAACATTCAAAACCTACAGGTTTTCTCCATCATTGAATACCCATGCCTCAACTAATCAAGGCCAGGGTTTTTATTCCTAAAGTTTCAGAAAACACTAAGACGTGGGTTTCAAATTGCAACCATTATAAGTTTTTAAAAATATTTTAGTCAGATCTTTAATATAAATTTTTAGGATATGGGATCCAAAATCAATAAAAATTAAAATAAAGCCTAAAAACCTATGTTTTTTTTATTAAAACCCTAAGAGGCTAAGAATTTAAGTTCCCCATCTCTAATCCTACTCGGTGAATGCAGAGCCCACGTAGAGTCGCAACTCAGGACTCTCCCTATTCACAAAATTGCTACCAACAATGATTCTACCATTAGTTCGCCACCATTCATTGCCCTTCACTGGCTGTATTCGTCAGCCTCCCAATCAACAGTTGATGGTGGACATGTGATACCATTACAACCCTTCAATAAACAAATAAATGCAGTTTTGATGCACATGACTAAGAGAATGATTGTATATAAATACTTCTGTTAGAGTATTGTATTTGAAGATTTGATAATTAATTACATAGAATTTATTTGATGTTTTACTAGTCCCTCGTAAACTACAATGGTGAAAGTCGATGCTAAGAGAAGATAAATAAAGGCTAAACATATATATCAAATAAAATTTATGAAGAAAAATTATCACAAGTGATGTTAAAACACTAAAAGATCATCGTGTTCAAACTCATAAGAATGTGGGACTGTATGAGAAAGTTTTTGAAGTTAAATGAGAGAGATCAATCTTTTTGAATGCCTATACAAAAACAAAGCATTGACATCATTAAAATATGGATGAAAAGGTTTGATAATGTATCACATTATGTTTCTTCTAGTTTTGGTCTTACTGGTGATCCTACTAGTGGTATTGATAATGTATCACATTATGGTTCTATTCTTTAACATCAAAGCTAAAGTATCCCATTAATGTCCTCTAAAGAATATTAGAATCAAATTTGTATGGACATTGAAGATTTATGAAAATGGGGTTTCTTTTTAATGTTGTAAGAAGTTCATGTTCTTTTAGTAAGGCATTCTCCATTAGGAACATGGTCAAGGATTGAAATCTCCAAGCACGCATGAGCATTTGTTGAACTCCAAAATATGCTCAATGATCGAGAAAAAAATTTTTTAGTAAAGGGAATACTAAGGCTTTCGTTTGGGACAATTTTCTTAATGCTTTCTAAAGCAACTTTCGAGTATAAATTATAGTTAAAAAAAAATTGTAGTAAGAAATTGTTTTAGAAAATAATAAGAAAGCTGTCTCAAAATAAACCTAATACTGTCATGTCAGCTAGTTAAGTTCTACAAGTTTCAAGCATAAGAAATTTGCTTTTGTACTATCATCTGCAAGATGGATGAAAGACATTAAGGACATTCATCTATTTTAAGACATGTGTAGCCTCCTAGTTGTTAGCCCCATAAGCATGAGAAAATCAATAAAAAAATCACCCATGTATGCCAAATGAGGCACAATTAAAAGTGCGCGAGCCAGGAAACTTCCGCGAGTGAGTCAATTCAAATTAAAAAAAAATTATTAAAATTTTATGTGGGCTCCGAAAATTCGGCCCCGGCCTCCGCTCGCTTTTCTTATTCGGCGAGGGAGTTTTAACGAACTAAGTTCTGGGGTAAATTTTGGAAGGCAAATAGGTTTGTAGATAAGACACTACCCAGAGATTTCACTCTCATTTTGTGAGGACTTTATGATCTGAGTTCTGAATGGGAGTAGGATCGAGGCCATCGTCGCTGGTTTCACGCAAAAATCCCGGATGAGACGCGATCGCAGCGGGATATCAGGACTGGTTCGGCGCCGTTCGCAGACTGCTACGGGATTTCTGCGGGATTTATGGAGGGATTTTTGGCAGAGTTCGTGGATCCAACAGCTTATAGGTATTTTGATTTTTTGTTCTATTGGTTAATATTTAGAGGTCAACATTTTAATTTTAATTTAAAATTTTAAAAGTTAGTATTTTTAATAATAAAATTATTTCAAAATAATAAAAAATATTAAAATCAAACAAATTAAAAAAATCTCCAAGAACCCTATACCTTGTCCTCTTCATTGTGAGTGAAAGGACATGTTTGTACTCTATATTAAGTCAAGTTTATCAAAAAGATAGCGAAAAGAAAATAGACCTAAACCCTAACTCCATTTTCTAATAATTATATTCATCACTCTAATCACTCAACCAGTCGCGTAGGCCTCCCGATCTTACGCTCCTCACGCCAATCCAACATCAAACTCCCCTCCCATCCATGACTGATCAGCCGCCCTCTAGCACAGTTCCACCTATTCAGTCCTTCCTCTAGCCGTCATTTAACCACATTTGACCAGCCAATTGACGCTGTGCAGCCCCTCCTGCACCCGGCCACAGTCTAGACTGCCGCCGTGACTTACAAGCCTAGTTTGATTCCCTCATCCCCATCTTCTCCTTCTACTAGTATTCCCTAGCTCTTCTTCTCCTTCTACTTCTCCATTCCCTAAATATTCTTCTCTTTCATCTCCATGTTTCTTCTTCTTTTTCTTCTTCTCCAACCTCATGCTTCTCATCTTTCCACTACCTTCCCCTTCTCTCACTCTTTCTATCATTCTCACCCTCTCTCTTCTCTACATTATCTATAAATAAAATATGTGGGAGAAACTTTCCTCCACCTTTTCATCACCTCTTTCCCTTTGTTGACCCTAATACTAATGTCGGGGGGGTCGAGTCGACCGCGTAAAGTGGATTTCAAAAGAGAAAGAGCTCGAAATCGAGCAAAAACTCATCCGATACGTGTCGATCGAAAATCCAAAATTACTGAATGACCTCCGTTCGCGAAACGGACAACGCCGATGCGTCTGGAGCAACGAAAATAGCTAAGATCGACACCCATATTGATGGGGTTCATCGATCGGCAAAAAAATTAAATTTCGCGCACAAATCTAGGCGACGATGACGATGACGATGATGTGGCGACCAACTTGATGCACAAAAAATTTATTTTGTGCCATATAATTAAATTATTTTATTTAAAGAGAGGGAGAGAGAAAGGTCTTAAAAAAATAAAGAAAAGAAGTTTTCTAAATAAAAAAATCCCAAAAATACCCTAAGTACCCTCACTTAAACCCCTAAGCCCTCATATTCTCTCCCAACCGACCCCTCCTCTCATTCTCATGCCATTTTCATGCCAAGGAGCCGCCCCCCATCCGAACTCCCTCTCCTCTCTTGCGATCCAACCGCCGGCCTCCCTCCAAGAACTCCAAGGTAACTCCACTTCTCTTCTTCTTCTTCTCCTTCCTCCATCCTCCATTCTCCTTCTCCTTCTTCTTCCTTCCCTTTTCTTCCTCTTCCTCATTTTTCTTTTTCATTCTTCCTCCTTCCATTTTCCTCCTCTCCTCTCTTTTCCTTCCTCTCCTTCATCTTCTTCTTCTTCCTCCAACCTTTCTCTCCAAACCTACAAAAACCCTAACCCTATTTTTTTTATTTCTCCACATCCACTCACTAAACCACCAACCTCTCTTCACAAACAACACTCCTACACACCTTCTACACCCTCCCAATCAAAAATTCCCATCATCCTCAACTTTCTCTCTCTAGCCTAGAGAGAGAAAATTTTCTCTCCAGAAAGAAAGAGAAATTTCTTTATAAATGTCCCTCCTCTCCACTCTATGCATGAAATAAGTACTCATGACCGTTTTTATTAGCGAGCGAGGAAACATAAGTACCCGTGACTGCTCTTATTAACGAGAAAAAAAATTTATATGCATGAAATATAAGTACACATGACAGGTTTTATTAGCTAGCAGAAAAATTTGTTATTTGTAAAAGAATTGATTAATTAAGTATCCGTGACTGCTTTTAGGCGAGAAAAATATTATACATTAAACAGATACTTGAAGACATCATGACCGCTTTTATTAGCGAGCGGGGAACGAGACTGCGGCCGTGGTGTCACCTGACACCTACCGTGACAGCCTTTCTTGGCAGGTGGGAAGGCTTTACACTTCTGATGCAGCCCCCTATGCAGGGACGATGCCAGAATGCTGCCGAAATTTTCAATAGAACCCATGATTTAGAAGATTTAAAAAAAAATTAAATCCACCTAAAATTCTAAGTCAACAAAAAATAAAACACATGACACCCTAGGATCCCGACACTAAAAAAATCAAAGAAGAAAGGAATTCATATCATACACAACATGACTTACACTGAACTTATAAGGAAACTAGTCGTTCATTGGTGGATAGAAACCAAATCTCTTCCTCCTAACTCCTGGCTTGCACACCTTAATCCCCTACAAAAGCTACTTACATGAATGGGATGGGAAAAAATGAATTGAAACCACCTCCTATTTATAACATTGAATTTGAATTATTCACGGGCCCCACCAGCAGACAGGGAAGGTACAC